GGGTGACGTCGTTACGGACGCTGCTTACGTGCTGTTTTACAAACGCCGGACGCTGTCGTCCTACAATGTACTTCGGTATGCGCTTTGACGTTACAGGCGGTGGAAGTGCTGATTAAGTCTTGTCTTTGCTTGGCCGTATCGAGCAAGAGCCGCAAGTACGAGTCGATGTGAAGTTGGGTGCACATCGACCGAACCTGGTGCCGTGCGAGATTGAAGTAGGTTGAACCTGTGTGTGCGCTGGATGAAAGCAGAGCAGTTAACTCTGCACAATCCCATCTATTTATTGGGGAAGTACACGTTCCTTGCTGTTCGTGGCGCACGCTCACCCCGTCCTTGACGCCTCAACGTCGCAGCAAAATTCGTCGTACTTTCGGTATCGACATTCGGACCAATTCGTCAAGTGCCGCATCAAGCCGTGCGGCCATTCGTTTGCGAGCTCGAGGCTGATGGATAGCAACGTACGTCAGCGTCTTGACTCCAAATCAGTGATCAAGTCGCCTGCTCGATTCTGCTGCAGCTGCAGGATTGCGGTTTCTCACCTTCATCGAGTCAACTCATCGCTCTTGCCCTTCTCCTCCAATTACTCCAAGTCCTGCTTGTCTCTTACGGCTGCCACCGACACTGAAGGTAGTAGCTGCACGCAGGGGATCGTCATCATGTCGCTCGCGGTTGAACTCACGCGATGTACCCAAACGTTCCAGGTAAACTTCTGGCACTCGATCCAGTGCGTCGGAGGGTCTACCCATTGTCTACCTTCGGCATCTGTGGCTTCGTCAATGTGCGGTCCTGAAGTCCTGGTGGTGTTCTTGTCGGTCTCGCCAAGCGAATGAAAGCAACAACAAGAACGTCTCCCGCGAGGTTGGTTGCACAAGTCGGTCTTCGAGCCACGAGACTCATCAACATGGGGAACACCTGCTTCATGAATAGTGCCCTCCAATGCTTCGTTCACTCGCCGGTGTTCCGTGAGTACTTCTTGTCGAATCGATTCGAACCAGAGGTGAACAAGAAGAATCGTCTTGGTAGTCGGGGTGCCATTGCCGTAGCATTTGCGCAACTTCAGAGTGCTCTCTGGCGCCAACGTGACCGCGGGTATCTGCGTCCCAGTCGGTTTCGAGACGAATTCACACGAGTTTGCCGCCACTTCGAAGAGATGCGCCAGTACGATGCTCACGAATTTATGGTTGCTCTTCTCGACTGTCTGCACGAGGACCTGAACCAGAGTTTTCGCGCCTTGCCAGCGTCTGCTGACGACTCGATACAAGCAAGAAGCTCGAAGTGTTTCAGTTTCGGCGCACTGACAGGGGAAGACATGGTGGAAAGTGATGACAATGATGACGAAAACTCCCAGGCTTATGATGAGATCATGCACACGTCTTCAGACGAGGCTCATGGTGATGCAGCTTGGCGTGCGTACACGAGCACCAACTCTTCCGTCGTGGTCGACCTGTTCCACGGTCAAATGCGTAGCGAGACTGTCTGTGGTACGTGTTGCGAGCGCAAGTGTACATTCGATCCGAATCTGTTCTTCAGTCTTCCCATCCCAGAATCGAATTTCGTCCGTGTGGAGGTAAGCGTGCTGTTACAAGCGCGAAGATTACCGGGTGGTACTGATGATAAACACGATCCAGAAGTTGCACTCCAAGCGGAGCAGCGTGGTTATTGGCTTCACCGAGGAAGTCAGGCAGGTGCATTGTGCGACCGCATTGCACAGGTGTATGGGCGCGCAGGTGGAAACCGTTTTTTGCTCGTAGAGGTGCGTCGAAATCGCATCAAGCGGATTGTCGAGGACGATGAAGTTGTCGACAAACTCGTAGCTGCTGCTCCTGGCTCGCTTGCTGCCTGCGTCTTGATCTGAATCTTCCATACTGTGCTGGTAGGCTGCAGTACGCTTTACATCTGTCCATTATCATGATCTCTCCAAAGCCGACAGTATCTTCGCAGTTGCTGCTGTCGCAACGAACGAGCTTCAGATTTATACCGCTTGCCGTTCCGCTCCGTCTTCACGCTCGTGATTAGCAAGCGTGTCTTCAGCTGCGTTGTGGTCTACAAGCTTTTTCTGTTGTTCATACTCCACCTGATTCTGCTTAGCTTCTTCATCGGCTGCCAATGTACGTAGCTGTTCAAGTTGGAACTCGGCAAATTTTGTCGCGGCGCTCGAGGTCTCTAGGTCATCTTGTGTCGTTTGCAAATCCTTTTCCAGGCGCTGAATCGTGTCCTGGTAAAGGTCAAGTTTCCGGCCGAGGCGCGAGCTGAGAGCATTTACGCGGCGAATCTCACGATAGATGTCACTGACACCTCTATCACCATCTTCGCTCGTATCAAATCCGTCCATCGACATGCAGTCATCGCCAGTGTCATCCTCATCACCTGAAGCGTAACAGGTAGAATTTGAGTCCGTAATAACGGACGAACCAGACTTCGGACTGCCAGGACTGCAAAGTACCGGCTTCTTCGTGTACATCAATTCCGTGACTTCGTCGAAAAGTGACCGGTACGCATTCAGCATTTCCTGCGTACTCTGCTTTTCCTCGCTCGGTAGTGTCGATGCTCCAAAAATTGGTGGCGCCGGCTTATCTGTTTGGCCGTACCGGTGAGGCTCCACTGGCCCAACATCGCTAGTGTGGCGCCGTTCTTCTTCAACAAAGGCTTTCCACTCAAGTAGCTCACAAAGTTCATGACGGATAAGGTCATTCTCGGCTTCGGCCTCTCGAGATCGACGCAGTAGTTCCTCGATACGATCTTGCTGATCTTGCACTTTCTTCTGCAAGTTGCGTTCCCGCTTTTCAGCCGCTACAAGCGAAGCAACACTGTCATCATGATCCGCCAACTGCTCCTGGTTATCTCGATTATACTGGCGAACAACAGCACTTCCATATCGCTTAGGCGCAGGGAGCATCGACATTCGTACACCTGGAAGCTTGCTTGGCTTCGATCGCGATGAATGGCGACTAAACTTGTACCGATCAGGATCAAACGCGACCTCCTTGTATTCTTCAAACCGGCAAATCATACGATAAAGTAGCATCTCAAGCCGGTCACAACGAGCTTCCACAACATCTCGATCTTGCTGTTGCGGCTCACCTACCTCTCCATCAGCATTGCCTGTAGGCGCCATTGCCCCGCTTGCACGCAACAGCTTTTGCATCATGTCCAAAGCTGGCTCCCATCGATTTTGTTTCTTCTTCTCCTGAGCCCGAGCTTGTGCTTCAAGCTCGACGAGTGCTTTCGCTTGCATCACAAGCTCGTCTTTACTAGAATCCGTTTCAGAGAAATTGGCTTCAAGATTTGATTCAGGATTACCAGCACTGCTGCGCAAGAATGCGATTTCTTGAACCAGCTTTTCGATTTGCTGCTTAAGCACGGGCACGAGTGAGTCATCATCCTCGTTCTGTACAGCCTTATTCTTGATAAACTTGGCACGCTGAGCGAACTTCAGCGTGCTTAGAGTTTCAGTAAAGTACTTCTCTTCCGGTGATATAGTGGCAACGATACTCGTTATTGCATTGCCTCCTAAGGCGTCGCGCAAAAGAAACGTAAGCTTCGAGTCACGGTAATGCACGTGCCTCTTTTGACCATTGCTCACATCCACTAGCGCCATGATCACGTTGCCGAGTGCCGACAAAGACTTGTTTATTTGTGCTGCCTCCTTCAATCGCTTGCCGTGGACTCGAGTTTGTCGCTGCTTCTCACTACCTGCCAAATCCACCAAGTGCAAACACGAACGGCGCGTTCGTTTCACGCCAGCTGACGTACGCTCCTCCAGCACGAGTTTGATCGAAAACACTGCGTGAGACCGCGAACTCTCGCGATTCATGTCGGTTGACGAAATATGACGGTTTTGCGAGCCCAGCTGCAGCAGCGTTAGCGCTTCTTCTTCACTTCCCACGCTAATCTCACGCAGCTGGTCCACGTACACTTCCTTCGTGCGGTCTTCACGAAGGCTTTTAGGCTGCTGTGCCGCGATTGAGCCACTAGGTTCAAGAAGATCGAACACCTTTTCATTGTAAATCTCCAAGTACGAACAAGACAGTTTGTACTGCAGTGCACTCTCCATTTCCTCGCCACGATCAAACGCATCATTCCGTTCTCGAGATAACGCTGCAAGTCGCTCGAACAAATAGTCGACAATACGTGGCGTGAGGCCACGCAGCGGTGACAGTCTCAACGTCTGGACATCAGCCGTCGCGCCACCCAACATGGTGAACGTCTTGCCCGATCCAGTCTGTCCGTACGCGAAGATGCTGCCATTGTACCCCTTGATAGTATTCTCCACAGCCGCTCGACCCGCGTCTTCGAAAATATCGTCTTGCTCACAACTCTCCGTGAACACGCGGTCAAAGCCGAATCGCTTTTCCTGTTGCGACGCGGGCGCCAGCGTCACTCCGCGTTGATCAGGAGCCACGTCGATACATTTGCGGACCTCCTTCCCTGGAGACGGTCGAATCCGAAGCAGCACGCGGATGTTCTTATCCGACGGAGCAGTTGCCTCCGTCGACAGCACAAAACTCGAAGCAGCAGTCAAACGTTCCCGCCCATTGCTCATCGGCATTGACCGTGGTGTCGTTACAGGCGTCTGCGTCCGGCTTTGGATCGTTGAGTAGCTAGGAGCTTCTTGTGTCTCAAGTTCGTCCGTATCCGTCGACTGACTGGCCCGAAACTGCAGTCTCTTGAACGGCCGCTGGAGTTGAGCTGGAGATTTCGTACCCAGTCCTGCAGGAGTCCGTGGCACAGCAAGTCCCGACCCCTGAGCAAGGCCACGAGCAAATGGTGCTCTAGAAGGCGTCCCAAAAGACGACGACACGGACGACAAGCTGGTTGCGGCGACGGCAGCTGCTGCTGCTGCTGCTTTCGTCTTGTGACTGCTTGGACCTGGGATGCTACAGCAGCACATGAACGAGAGAACAAGTGAACAGAAAAAAGAGCATGAGGACAAGGCGGTCTGGTCTGATTCTGTCGATAGTAGAGTAGGCAAAGGCAAAGGAACGGATAAAAAGCACACGATGTCGAGGCACAAGGAAGAAGCGCACGACGAGTTGGTTCCGTACCGAGACGACGACGACGACGAGGGCATTTGAAGCGGTTGATGACGCGTTGGGGCGATTGGGAAGGGGGGGAAGAAAGATGCAGAGAGAGAGAGACGTAGTCCGTGTGGTCGAAGCGCTGGAAGACGTGAGCGGGAGCTGCTGCTGCTGCTGCTTGTCGCTTTGAGGAGCTGCTGGCGGTTCAGCAGCTGAATGGCAAATGACGGACGAGGAGAGGGTTCTGCTGGGCTTTCGAACGCGGGAGGGGAATAGTGATACTTATGCTTGTAGAGGAGGAGGTCGGCGCGTCAAAACGATCGGGCGATGGCCGAGTGCAACAAAAGACACACTCAAATACAGTCATTCATTCATTCATTCGTTCATGCGTTCGCTCGTTCATTTATCGATTTTTGTGGAGTTGGTTACTGAGTTCTTGCAATCCTCACAAGAAGAAGAAGAAGAAGCAGCAGCAGCAGTTTCAGGGAAAAGGTGCCGTCGACGACCTCGATCGATTACTAGCGACTTGATAGCGACGAAATATCGTCATTGAAACAGCACGTAGAGAAGATTAATCGGGTATTCTAAACTATCTATCTGATGGAGGGATCATGGCGTAAGAAGATGTTGGTTGTTAGAGCGAAGAGATTCGTTGGTTGGTCGGTCGGTCCGCCTAGTTCCTTGTTGTCTCTTGGCTGACGTTGTGGTCAGACAGTTCGAGGAGTCCACCGAGTTGAGCTCGAGTTTTCTCGGACAGAGCGATGAGGTGAGCCTCATTCCAGTCGAGGGCGAAGTGACGATGATGGCGGTCGAAAGTGCGAACGCGGGAGTCTCTTTGTGGGTCGGGGAATTGCTCAGGGAACTGCTTCATGGCGTGCGTCCGGGACTGAAGAGACGTCAGACGGCCGTAAGCCAGCACTTGGTAGAAAACCAAGACGGTATATCTCATGCCGGTTGTTGCTCGGACGCCGTGACGGACGTTCAGATGTTGGCAAACTCTTGTTTGGATGGAACTTTGTCGACCATTGAGGACCAAATTGTCACACAAAAGCGCCTGCAGGCGTCGGAATCCTTGGAGCTGTTTCCGTTTCCTCCATCGTCGTGATTGTGCGTCACTTGATAGACCAGGACCGCCGTGTGTATGTGGATACCAACAAGACAAATGGACTCGCGTAACGGAGATCGATCGTCGATAACAGGTACACAACTTGTGCATTGCTTGGACGGACAAGCCGACTCTGAACAAAGGGAGACGTGGTGCACGAACAGGAACGGATCGACCTCTTCGACCAAGTGGTAGGTGCTCACGCAGCTCTTCGTAAACCGTCCGTTTCGTGCGCAACCAATTTAGGTCTCAGACGAAGCTAATAATAGTAGAAGCTCCATGTGCTTGTGCAACACCTTGATACCCACTAGCTAGAAGTCACGAGTGCTTTCGTACATGATTCCAATGCAACAGGACAAGGCGTCAACAACAGGAGGAGGACTCGGGGTCTCTCGACTCAAGTGCGATGAAATCGGTGGTCCAATAGCAACCTCAAGAGCTACACGACAATCGATCGACCAATCGGTCAATCGATCGCAAAGACCAGATGGAGCACGAGTGGCAGCAGGTTTCGCGTCGTCGACGTCGCCGTCAGTTTTCTTCTTCTTCTTTGCACTCGCAGTCAAAGGCGGTTCCCAAAGGTGCGTAGACTCGACCGACCAATGGACTTGGAAGTCGCTATCGATGACGAATTGGCGTGACGTCTTCAACCTGTCTGAGGCAGCAATGACTGGTCCGTAGCGGTCGGGATCAACTTGGCTAGTGCTGATCCAGTCCACGTCTCGTTGATCCAGTTGTTGATACCGGACCTTACGTTTGGTCGTGGTTCTTTGTTTGGTTGGTGCAGTGGATGAAGAGGTGGGGGCGCCTCTGGCCGAGGTATCGACTGCAAAGCAGCTGCAAATTGTTCAGCGCGTACGTGCAATTGCCAACGAGAGTTTGAGAGATTCGGCGCTCCTCAAGGACGCGCTGCGTGCGATCGTCAAGCAGTTCCACTTGACAGAAGCATGCACGTCACTTGACAAAGACGCGGAAGATGAGCGACTGGTGGTCGTTGGCTATGGACTCGGAAGCTTCTGCGCGTCGTCCAATGCAGTGCACCAGTTAGGGTTCCTCGTCGCGTTGAAGCAAGCGCTCGACAACGGATGGAGACTGACCGCCGACGCGAAAGATGCTGCAAAACCCGACGGGATTCAGCCAGCAGTTGAGCTCTTTGACCCAGTCATGAACAAGGTTTGATACCGTGCCAGCGAGCTGCATCGTTTGTCGCTAGCAGACAACCGTGCAGCAGGAAGTGCCATCTTTCTACCCTCAGCCGAATGTAACGTCGATGCTGTGACCTCTTGTCGTGTCTGTTCTTGCTTATCATGCAGAGTGACGCTGTTATTGCTGAGCAGCTCGGGATGACAGTGATCCAGGAAAATGAACATGGACGACGAAAAGTGGTTTGCAACACGGTCTTCTTCATGCCTCATTGTGCAAAGGTGTTGTACGAGAACGTCCTTGCTTGCAACTGGGGTCTTGCTGTCAAGCAGCTCGTGATCATCGGTAACAGGTGCGTGAGGCAGACGAAAGCGTTGTGAAGTGCCGACGCCAGCGCTCACTTGCATTCTTGTGCTTGTGGAACCAGTTTTTCAGCGTACGGAGACCGCGTGCTTGCAGCTGAAGAGCGTCGAGAGCTCTTACTCGAGAAGGTGGTGCCTTACCTAGAAGAAGTGCCGCTGCCGTGTGGAGTTGCCAAGCAGCACGAGAACTTTGCGTGCTATGAGGCAGCCTTCAACGACCTCAGCGTGCATAGCTTTCCATCTGAGTTGCTGAATAGCGCTCTTGCCAACGACTTGGATCTTATCGCGAGGATGGCTGCTGTGGCTAGCTCAGTCGATTCAAAAGAGCTCGAAGCCTGAGGTAACGTGATGCCTGCAGTAGCCTCATGCCGATTACTACAAGCCAAGGGGAGACCCATCTACCGACGCATAACATGTGAAACGTCGTCCACTGCAACAGCTTCGTAGAGGCGTTCAGTCTAGATTCGATGCAGTTCAGTCCGATGCCTGCCTGTTACATCCACTTTCGTGAGACGCGTGAGGCTACCCACGATTTCGTCTGTAGCATCGCACACTTAACGCGTCCAAGAACTGCCACAAGATTATAAAACGCAGCGACCGTGTCTGCCTTCCGTCACGCATTCGCTTTCACTCCGCTTGGGTCACTTTTCAGCAGCTCTCTTCGAACTGCAAGCATTGACTCAAGTCCGTTCGCATACACGAAAGGCGGGTATGTCAGTTACACGGTGCATCGGAGCCGAGTCTGAAGCTTTGTCCTGTGCTGCAGTGTGTCGAGACATCTCACGTGGACGACTAGAAGGGCAACAAGTTTCGGGTTGGCCATATCCGTCGGAGTGTCGGGTCGCATCCATGGCACCATCGATTGTGACTAGTCAACACGCTAGAAAGAGCAGTACACGCTGTAGCTGTGACAGCGATAGAGAGCTGGACGACAAAGGGACTGGTGTGCAGGTTCCGTCGGAAGAACTGGCTCAACTATCCATTGACACGATGGAGATGTCCAAATTCCAAGCTGGCACCACCGCTGTCTCGAAAGCGGATGTAGTGGCGAACGTAGGCGAGAGCAATCGTTTGTCGTGTGTGAAGTCTCATGGTGTCTGACAACCGTTTCGTGTGCTTTCCAATTGAACGAACAGATCGAAAGCAGAAGTGAGGATCAAGAAGACTCCAAAGACGCGAAAGCTCTTGCTTCTGCGAACATCTTGGCGTGTCTTGGTAGCCGAAACGATATCGAGAAGTGTGCGACTCGACCTCGACAACGTCATTGCAGCGGTAAAGATAGCAGCACGACTAGGTTGTCCTTTGATCCCCTGCTTGTTACCGGAGTAGATTCGTCAACACGTGCACCGACAGAAGCTTTGTCGCCAGCCGGACCCGCAGTGCTACCAAAGGTGATAACCCGCAAGGGTGACAAGAGCTCACTTGATTTTCACCAGCGCTATACCGTCACGAAACATTTGGGCCAAGGCTCGTACTCGACCGTAGAGCAGGTGACGCGCCGCGCGAAAGGCGGGGTCTATGCTTGCAAGATCGTGGACAAGTCGAGTCTCTCGGCTGCAGACCGCACAGCACTCTCACATGAAGTGCGTGTCCTGTCCAGTGTCAACCACGTGAACATCATGCGCTTGTACGAAGTTATCCAAGACGATGTCAAGTGCTACATGGTGACGGAACTAGCTGATGGCGGCGATTTATTCGACCGCATCGTCAAGCAGGGCAAGTTCCCGGAACGCGAGGCTCAAAAGGTGACGGCGGCGTTAGTGGAGGCGCTGCTGTACTGCCACACGCACAATATTATCCACCGCGACGTGAAACCGGAAAACGTGCTGTTCCTGAATGACGACGTGAAACTCGGTGACTTTGGCTTTGCTAGGCAGCTTGCTCACTCAGAAGAGCAGGTCTCCGATTCATGCGGTACGCCGGGTTACGCAGCACCGGAGATCTTGGACGGCCAGCCGTATGGCCTTGAAGCTGACGTGTTCTCACTCGGTGTCGTGATGTACGTTATGCTGTGCGGCTACCCGCCATTTCCCATGAAGCTTGTCCATTTACGTAAGCACCGGTTCAATGTGAAGTACCCGGTTAAGGACTGGGCTTCGATTCATCCTGATGTCAAGACGCTCGTTTCCAAGATGCTGGACGCAGACCCGAGAGCGAGACCCTCGATGGCGCTTCTTCAAACACATCCATGGATCCAAGCAGGAAAAGAGGCGTCGAAGCGCACACGACAAGAAGATCGAGAGCGTTGTCATCTTGCCGATCTTACTCAGCGACAGCGAACAGCTTCGGCAATCCGCAAGCAACTCGTCAGGAATGGTTTCAAGGTGGTAAAATATGGTCGCAACGGTCTTCCCCATCGCACTAAACTTCGCTTGTCGGGAGATGGCCAGGTGCTCAGCTGGCAGCCAAAGCTGCTCAAACGAGGTCTACTCCGCTATCACAATGCACGCAGCTTCACCAACTTGTTTCCCAGTCGCGACAAGCGTACCAGTCAGCCTGACCAGCAACCAAGCGAGTCTCAAGTGAACCGAGTTGTTCCTACTGGCGGTGTTGCTGGCCGGTCTACTGTCAAGCACAAATCGGAGCAACGTGCTCTCGCTGCTTCCACTGACAGCTCAATAGGCAGCACTTCCGACGCTATTCGTGAAAAGCGTTTGTGGTGGCGTTTGCTATGCCGGGAGCGTAATGTGAAGACTGAACGTACGGCGAGCGGTGTGCCTACGCCTAACTTCTCTTTTCGTGAGACGAGCAGTACCCCGTCATCGCCAATAAGGCGTTCAGAGGCAAAGGTGCCACAGATGCAATCGCCAAGTTCGATATTGAAGAGCATTGCAACACCTACAACTGGATCTTCGGATCGTTGCTTGGATAACTCGATTAACCTGCACGATGTTCGCGAGATCCTTTCTGGAGACGGTGCACCATTTTCCGCTGGGCGCGGTTTGACATTGCCAAATTCATTCAAACGCACCGTCAATCCGGCTTGCGTGTTATCGGTGTACACTCGATTCCGTGAGCTTCATCTCGAGTTCTTGGACGAGCGTGTGCGCGACGGTTTCGAGTACCTACTCCAGCAAGCCACGTTGCCACTCCAGCACTGCGTCGCAAGTCAACCGGCGCAAACAAGTTCAACGCCGTCACTGCCACCAGCACCTCACAAGCCGCATGACGAGTGAAACGGTACTTTTGCGGCCGCGATGTCTCCCCATGAAAATGTTGAGTTCATACCCGATACAAGTAGGTGGCCAAAGGTAGCGATGTGGACTCCGTGACGAGAGAGTAAAAGCGTGATCTTCACACCAACCAAGGCGATGGAGTCGACGTTAGCTATAGTCCACGGACGTCATCATCGCGACATAATGGTAGAATAAAAGCAACACTCGACGCAACTCTCTTGACGGCAACCTTTCAAGTCTCCGATCATTGGAGTTGACAACGTTTACAAACCATTGGAGATTCTAATGGTCCACGGGTTCTCGGTGTAGATGCTGTCGT